GAGAGAGAGCTAGAAACATCGATGAGAGAGAAACATCCACCAGCTGCTTCTTGCACACCCCCACCAGGGATGTGCCTGCAACCAAGGTACATGCCCGCAACCAAGGTACATGCCCTTGACCAGAATCGAACCGGGGACCTTTCAGTCCACAGACTGATGCTCTACCACTGAGCCAAACCAGTTTCGGCTCATCGATGTTTCTAACTCTCTATCCCTCTCTCTTCCTCTCTGTAAAAAATCAATAAAATATATTGTTTTTAAAAATTAGCCTGCTCTATTTGGTCAAACATTTCATTAACTCATCCTTAATGCCTTGGCAGGGCCAGACCAAATGCTTTTGCAAGCCTTATACGGCCCTTGAGCTGGATGTACCCCACTCCTGATATAAAGCAAAAGCAGCACAATGAGTCTAAAATGACTGAATCTATGAAAATATGAGCATGTTCACTGTACTAATCTTTTAATATCTCGGTTTGTTTGAATAATTTTAAAAAACGGGTCCCAGCCAGGTAGCTCAGCTGGTTTGAGCATCGTCCTGATATGCCAGTTGAAGTTTTAACCCCAGGGTCAGGACTCATACAAGAACCAATAAATGCATAAATAAGTGGGACAACTAATCTCTCTCTCAATCAATAAAATGATAAGAAAATAAAAACCGGGGAGAATTGGAATTAATTGACACAATTCAAAGACACCAGAATTATTCAACGTGAACCTCAGAAACTTGTTTAGCAAAGACACCCATGTGAATAATGAACCCATGAAGTGATGCTGTTTAGATGAAATATAAAACCACAAGAAACAACTCCATTCGTTGCTTCTGGACACATGCTTTTGTACAAATAACAAACACACAAAGCAAAAACAAAACAGAATGACTTCCTTGATGGAGGAGGTTCATCAGGGTTCTGAAGGAGAGAGAAACTGCCCTCACAGCCCCCCAGCTGAGCTCACCTGTCTCCCACTGGCCCTGCTGAGCATCTGAAGAACTACTTGACTGCCTACGGCGATGGCAGCTGCCCTCTGTCCTCTTTGTAGAAGAGCTGGAGGTGCCGTAACTGTAGCGTTCTGGAGACACTGGGAGAGAGAAAAATGAAAAGAAGTATTCACAGCCTCAGGCCCCGCCCTGGCCCAGCCTCTAATTCCCACCCCTGGAGATATACACCTGCCCCATAGGGTTCCCCAGTTCCCCAGAGGTCAGAGTCCAGACATTCATTCCCTCTCCAACACCTCCCGCCCAGTAGTTGCTCGATGCCTCAGACATAGAGGAGTCAGCCAGAGTTATTCTGTAAACAGTCATTGTAAGGATCCCAGCAATGTTGCCCACCATGAACTGCACCCCCCTCACCCCACTCTTCCTGCGGCCACAGGGAGTAAAGCAGGCCTCTTTGGTCTCCCCAAATCTTCTCTTCCAGAGCCTGGCCGTCAGACATACTTCTCCAAGAGTGCTGTCAGTGCTTCCTTAGTGCTGCCCTTCTCCTGGTTATCCAAATCCCATGGGCTTATTCTAGTGAGGCGAGTTCACAATCCCCCTCCCTAAGCTAGCCCCTACACCTCGCCAAGCAATCCTGCCAAGTCCTCAACAGCCTTGGCCTATGCCTGCACTGGACTCTTGTGCCTTACACCCTCCAGCTTCTGGCCTTAAGACTGCTGTCCTTCATGAGGATTAAGGACATCAACTCTGGGCACAAACCAGCCGAGTGTGAATCCTAGCTCTTGCTGTTTAGCTGTGTTATCTGCAAGCCCCTGTGGTGTGGCTTCTCACCTACCCCTCTGCCCTTTCTTTGGTCCCCCCTGCCACACTGGCCTCTGAGGATGCCAAATTCATTCCTGCCTCAGGGCTTCAGAGCTTGCACAGTGCCAGCAGTGCAGCCTCGGTTCAAACGTCACCTTCCCAGAAAGGTCTTGACTGGTTATCCAATCTAAGGGGGCCTCCCTCTATCACATGTGTCAAACACAAGGCCCGCGGGCCAAATCCGTCCCGCCAGGCCTTGCAATGTGGCCAGCACCGCGCTGTCATCACTGCACTCCGCTGCATTTCCATCACAATGACAGTTTATGACTGTTCAGTAAACCATTCGGCCCGCGATTTAGGCTGGATTTTAGATTTTGGCCCCTTCTCTGATTGAGTTCGACACCCCTACCTTAGAAGAACTCCCTCCTCTCTCTATACCATTACTTTGCTTTAGTCTTTCTATAACAAGTGAAAACAAGTCATTTATCTGTTTCAGGATCTGATTACCCAATAAATGTAAGGCTCATGTAAGTACTTTGTCAGTCCCATCACCTTCTATCTCCTGTGCCCAGCACACAGGATTCAGTTCTTATATGTGAACAAGCTGCTTAACTCCTCTGGACCTTGTTTTCCTGCACGCTGAGACAATAACTGTACTTCCTCCGTGAAGTACCAGGAGGATATAAAGTGACAGTTCAAGGGCTTACTGTGTCTGGCATGAAACAAGCCCTCCATAAAGTGGCTACAAACAGCATTATTGACATGGCCAAATTCCACAAGCTCGCCCCTCCCAAAGCTCGCTGCTCCCTCCAGTGTTTCTCCGGGAGGAGGGGGTAGTGGCATGGGACACAGGCTGTCTGATAGGGCCCTGTCCTCCATATCAGACACTTCAGGGGCCCGGATGCAGAGCGAGGGCCCTCACCCCATCGGAAGTCTATCGCCCTCCCATTCAACCATACCTGGCGGGCGCCGCCTGCGCGCCAGGTGCGGCAGCAGGTCCTGCCGGGCCAGCACTCGGAGGAGTTGCCCCAGGAGCCGCAGGTCGCTCTCGTCGCACTGCCCGCGGCGCTCCAGCTCCAGGAGCAGCTCCAAGCCGCTGCGGGTGTGGGACAGGCCGCCGGCCGCGCCGGGGGCCTCGTCCAGCAGGAAAGCCAGCAGGTCCAGTTCGCACTCGGTCAGCTGCCCGCCCACCACCTCGAACATACGATGAAGCGACAGCATCCCGTAGTAGTCCAGGCACTCGTCCTCCTCCCAGCTCGGGGCAGGGGTCGACCCAGACAGCGCCATACCCGGGGGAGGGGGTCGGAACAAGCTCGAACCAGGGCCTAGAACCCACTCGGCGGGGAGGGGGCAGTGGTCAGTGACGTGGGGCCCAAGCGCCACCCCGCCAGGGCGTCCCCGGGCCCCCCAAAACCGCGGGGCGGGTCTACCCTTACACCCTAGCCGGCTCAGCAGCCCTCTTCCCCCCGGAAGCGAATGGTATCGCCCGAGGTCCCCTAAGAAGAGGTTGAGACGTCAGACCTCGCTCGACCTCCGACCGGTCAGGCCTGCAGAGCCCGAACGCCCCCCGAAGTGGTACGTTCCGAACCAGCCTCCCGAACCGACCAAGTGATTCGGTCCGAACGAGCCTGAGGGGCCGAGCCTGAGGGGCCCACCCCGGGGCACCCTACCGACTGCCCTTTGACCCTGGGTAGTTCTGCCCGGACGCGCCCTGGGCCCCGTCCAGCGGTCCTGTCCGACCAGCCCCACGGTGGCTCCACCCCAGTGGTGCCGCCCGAAGGGGACCCTCTGGCCCCACAAGCGCCACTAACCCAAGCGGCGCTTCGCCCCACAGAGGTGGTGCTGTCCAAACCCGACCCGCTCGCCCCGTGGGGACGGGACCGCCCTCTCCCCGGCACCCAGGAGGTTCCGCCTGCCCGCCACCAGTCGCCCTTAGGCCTCCCTTGGATCCTCACCAGAATGTGGCGTCTGAGGACTCCGGGGCGACGGCGGCGGCCACTTGTTTTGGATCTTTCTGGCACCTTCTCTATTATTGCGCCTGCGTCACCTCGCCCCTCCTCCTTCCTCCGACTCGCGCAGGTGCGACCGCCACGCCCCTTACGCGCACGCGCAGAACGGGGTTACCAAGCCGCGCCCCCAGGGCCCGCCCCCAGCCGCGCCGGCCTGTGCTGCGCTTGCGCTGAACCGGGGTTGTTCCGCGTTTGGGTTGGATTTGGTACAGGGTTACTAGGTTATACTTCTGCCAGTCTGCGACTTAAACCGCTGGGTCCTTGTGGCCCCACGTCATGGCCTTTTGGGATTATTCATCTCATGGACTACAGCAGCCCTCTCCTAATTACAATTTAGACACTCACGGTACCACTGCTCGTAGCAAAAGACCACAGTCACGACCGACCTTCCTGTCTGAGCAGTGCCCAGGCCCTTATGATCAAGACTTGGGACTCTCCCCCTTTAAACTCCCCCTTACTTCTAATGCCAACCAGGAACCTGCAAACTGGAATCCCTCAACATCCAACAGAACCCCCAATACCCATCTATAAGTTCCTTTCCCTGATCAAGACAAGGACTCCTTCTCATGCTAAAAACCAATACTTCCTTATTGCAATAGGCCTCTACATCCCAAATGTGCACCTCCTGTCTGCATCCACCACGAACCCCGCTGCCTCTTATAACCCCTTCTAGCATCAGCCCTCCAAGGTCACAGGATCTCCCAATATCCCCTCTGTAACCTGCACCTATGAGTTTCTCTCTGGGGAGAGCAAGTCTCTTATCAAAAGAGTTGGCTTGCAGGCTGCTTGCCCCCACCCCGCCCCCACACTTAGGTCACTCAAGATCATAAGCCATACCTGCCTTAAGTCAGATTTCCACCCCATAATTATCTCCCCTTGAGAAGCGGGAGACCTAGGTCCTTCCAGGCACTGGCTCAGCCAGCACTGGCTTTGCTTGGGCTGCAGGAGTGATCTCGAAAGAGTCCCTTCCTCTTTCTGATGGCAGTTGTAATCTGTTGAAACCCGTCCTGGGTGGGACATTAGTGCCCAATAAGTGGATGTCATTAAACCAACCGAAGAGTGGGAGGGTAGGAAAAGCAAACTGGGAAGGAGTACGTCCATGTTGAATGGGTTATAGTGAGCAGCCACGGTGTATCAGGCCCTGTACTGAAAGGTTATTTATTTTTATTTTTTAAGCTTATAAAATGAAAATTATGCTTTAATTCGTCAAAAACATAGAGTCATCTAATCAATCCAGGAAAACAAGGCCATGCCTTAAAAATATGGAATGCTTCATGAATTTGCATGTCATCCTTGTACGGGGGCCATGCTAATCTCCTCTGTATCATTCCAATTTTAATATATGTGCTACCGAAGTGAGTACCTTTTTCTTTCTTTTTTTTTTAAATATATTTTATTGATTTTTTACAGAGAGGAAGGGAGAGAGATAGAGAGCTAGAAACGTCGATGAGAGAGAAACATCGACCAGCTGCCTCTTGCACATCCCCTACCGGGGATGTGCCCGCAACCAAGGCACATGCCCTTGACTGGAATCGAACCCAGGACCTTTCAGTCCGCAGACCGACGCTCTACCACTGAGCCAAACCGGTTTCGGCATTTTCTTTCTTTTTTTAATGAGAGAGAAAGAGACCTCGATTTTGTTGTTCCACTTATTTATGCTTTCATTGGTTGCTTCTTACCAGGGATCAAACCCGCAACTTTGGGATATCAGGATGATGCTCTAACCAACTGAGTTATCCAGCCAGGGTCAAAATATGTTATTTATTTGAGAGAAGAAGGGAGAGGGGAGAGGTAGAAACATCGATGAGACCCTGCAACCTAGGCATGTGCCCTAATTGGGAATCAAACTGTGACCCCCTTGGTTCGTAGGTCTACACTCAACCATTAAGCCATACCAGCCAGTTTATGTGTTTGATTTCATCCAGTTCCCTCAATAAGCTTGGATAGGACTCATTTTACACAGGCGTAAAGGTGAGGTCCAGAGAGAAGTCCTCCAAGCGTGTCTGGCTCCAAAGCTGTGTTCCCAGAGATGCTTAATCTTTTCAGCTATGACAGTTCTATCAAGGTCTCACGCCTGGTTTGGCTCAGTGGATAGAGCGCTGGCTGTGGGACTGAAGGGTCCCAGGTTCGATTCCAGTCAAGGGCATGTACCTTGATTGAGGGCACATCCCCAGTAGGGGGTGTGCAGGAGGCAGCTGATGGATGTTTCTAACTCTCTATCATATATATACACATATACATATATATACATATACATACATATAAAATCACACCGCCCAGTCCGCTCCATGGGCCCTCACTTCAATCATGCGCACTTGTCTCTCCCAGCAGAATGCACCAACGCAGCCAGCGAGGAGAACTGCGCAGGCGCCTCTCCGAGCCCCAGCCCAGCCCACAGGGCAGGGTCGTGTGTGCGTGGAGACACTCGCCGAGCCCCGCCTGAGCTCCAACACGCAGGCTCCCGGGCGCGTGCCCTACGCTGCCGGCTCTGATTGGCCGCCGCGGGTAAGGGCGCCGCCCAATGGGAGGTGTGGATGGTGAGGGGTGCCGCACGCCCGGAGCCGGGGGTCTGTGTCAAGAGCGGCGGGGTCTGCAGGAGGCGAGAGAGACTGGTGAGGGTCACCGCGCCGCGGGGCGGGCGGGCGGGCGAAGAGAGCGCTGGGTCAGCGGAGAGGATGGAGGGAGACGAAGGGGACGCCGGAGGTCAAAGAGCTTTGGGGCCTGCGCTATGGCGGGAGCGGCCCGGAGTGGAAGGAGAGCGCTCCTTCCTATGTGCCTTGGAGCATTGATGGACTCCGGCACTGTGCCGGACCCTACACTTGAGCTCTGCGTCCCCAGACACTTTGCAGGGAGCTCTTAGGCTGCAGAGTCTGGTCAGAGAAAAGGGATGTGTAGCTGTGCAGCGGGAAAATTGAACTTCCAGGCCCCTGGTGGGTTCTTTCCTGAAAGGACTTAATTGGTCCACTGTATAGAAAACCCCCTTTCTCCCCCCAATAGTTTACAATCCATCATTGGGAAGGGGGGAATGTAAACGAGGGAAATCCAAACGTTAGGTCTTTCAGGCTACCTTCTAGAAAGACCTTTACTGGGTACTACTTTGCATAAACTTTACACCAGGCACTGGACCTCCTCCTGGAGGAGTTCACCGTTTAGAGTGGGGCTGTAAACAAGAAAAAATTAAATTCTCAGGCCCTGGCAACTAAAAACTTAGTGAGGAAGTTAAGGACAGTGTACTCCTGGGCTTTTGGTGGATTATTTACTCAAGGAGCATTTATTGGGCACCAACTGAAAGCAGGGTCCTGTGCTGGGCTGGTTTTGTGGGAGGTCTAATAGGAGAGTTAGTCTGGTGGGGAGGTGGAATGTGCACTGGGCCTCACTTCCTGGAAAGAGGATTATTCATTCACTAAATATCTACTGGTGTCTAAGGTGTGCTAAGCATTGTCCTTGGCATTGGAAATAGATCAGTGATGAACAGACTAAAATCGCTGCCCTCTGGGAACTTAATAGGAGCAATGTTTATGTGTCAGGCTGTAAACTGCCCTCTGGCATTAACAGGTGTGTTGAAGAGATAGAGAAGATAGAAATTGAATTTGGAAAATTAGCTCTTATACTTGTGGGGTTGGGGGGTGGGGGGTATCTTTTGCTGGAGAGACCCTGGGCCCCTGCTGTATGAAATGACCTATATGAATTGAGTCCACACATTTAGACGGGGAGATGGAGCACATAGATAAAAGTTTAATAGTTAAAATCCCCGTCCCTGGTCAGTGCTTTAGTTGGTGACAACAGTCTCTATAGTGAATCAGACTTGTCCTGCCTACAAGCTCAGTGAGGAACACAGAGACTTCATCCCAAGTTCATGATAATTGCTATAATAGAGGTGTCACTAAATACTATAGGAACTCTGAGGAGAAGAGAATGGCCATTGGAAAAAGCTTCACAAAGGAAATGCTGGGGAGGAGTTTGCTAGACTAGAAGAGGAGAGAACTTACTTGGTAGAAGGAATAGCAGCATCAAAGACCTAGGGTCCAGAAACATTTCTGGGTAAAACCAGTGGTTCCGCCTCACCTTTATTAAGTACCAGAGACTTTGTGGTCAGTACTACTTTTAGCCCCATTTCACAAGTGAGAAGACAGTCTCCAAGAGAGGAAGTATGTGGTGGAGCTCAGATTCAAGCCAAGGGCAGTGTGGTTCCAGGGCCCGGGCCCTTAACCTCTTTGCTGCATCTCTGTCTCCATGTGGAAGGAGGAAAGGCGCTGCACAGAGAGGAAGCTGCACAGGCAAGGCCGAGAGGCCCAAACAGACATGTGTTCTCAGAAAGGATGCAACTGTCCCTCTGGGTAAGGAGGGCAGCATCAGAGGCCAGACTGAGGAGGGCTGTCTCTCCTGCAGATGTCTGGCCGCCACGGGATGAGTGTTAGCTTCAGAGTCACAGGCTCATTAAAGACTGAGGCACAAACACTGGGTCTAAGCTTGGTGAAGCTAATGAGTGCCGGGATGGACAAAGGAGCTCCTAAAATATCCCCTCTTCCCTTGGATTCCTGATGTCTCACCAGCTCCCTTCTTTCTCCAGGCACTGCTTCCCCCACAATGGCAGAGATGGCTGAGATGGCCGAGATGCTGACCCAGATATCACCAAGGGCGGTGGAGATGGCCACAGAGGTGACTGATATGAAACCTGAGGAAGCCCTTGCCTCATCCCTCTTTTTCCAGCACCACCAGTTCATGTGTTCTGAATGTGGCAACCTCTACAACACCCTGGAGGAGGTCATCTCCCACCAGGATGAGCATGTGCCCACTGGCACAGAGGAGGAGGTGCTGACCACCCAGGACGCTGGCCTGGAGCCAGAGCTAGTGCCAGGTGCTGAGGATGGGCCTTTCCAGTGTGGTGAGTGCAGCCAGCTCATCCTCTCCCGTGAGGAGCTCCTGGCCCACCAGAACTCCCACCTGCAGGCGTCTGCGAGCCAGATCCAGTACCAGTGTGGCGACTGCCAGGAGCTGTTCCCCTTGCCCGAGCTGTGGGTGGCTCATCGGAAGGCCCAGCACCTTTCTACTGCAGCAGCCGGACCACCAGTGCTGCCGCCTCCCCCGCCCCCTCCCTCAGCACCACCACCTCAGTCTCCTGCTCCACCTGGAGTCAAGATGGAGCCCTATGAGTGTCCTGAATGCTGTGCCCTCTGTGCCACCCCTGAGGAATTCTTGGAGCATCAAGGCACCCACTTTGACTCCCTAGAGAAAGAGGAATGCAATGGGCTAGAGGAAGATGAGGATGAAGAAGATGATGAGACAGAGGAGGAGGAGGAGGTGGCGGCGTTGGCCTCAGAGGTTGGTGACAGTGCTATAGAGGGCGACAAGTCCACAGATGCCCAGACCCAGAACTGTGGAGATTGTTCCCAGCACAGGACCTCAGCAGGGGCACGCCGACGACACCGGCGTGCATCCCACGGCCCGGCATCAACAACCCACCCCTTCCGCTGCAGCCAGTGCCAACGCAGCTTCAGCTCAGCAAACCGGCTGCTGGCTCACGGGCGGGCCCATGTTGGCGGCACACACGAGTGTACCACCTGCTTCAAGGTCTTCAAGAAAGCAGCTTCATTGGAACAGCACCTGCGGCTGCACCGAGGGGAAGCCCGCTACCTCTGCGTGGACTGTGGCCGTGGCTTCAGCACAGAACTCACCTTGGTGGCCCACCGGCGGGCCCACACTGCCAACCCATTGCATCGCTGCCGCTGCGGCAAGACATTCAGCAACATGACCAAGTTTCTCTACCACAGGCGCACCCACGCCGGCAAGAGCGGGGTGCCCCCCCTCACAGCAGGAGCCTCCCTGACTCCAGCTGAGCCCATGCCCCCGCCACCGCCCCCTACCCCGCCTGCCCAGCTTCCCTGCCCACAGTGCTCCAAGCCCTTCGCCTCGGCCTCCCGCCTCTCTCGGCACCGGCGGACAGTCCACGGGCCCCCTGAGCGGCGACACTGCTGCGGGGTTTGTGGCAAGGGATTCAAGAAGCTGGTCCATGTGCACAACCACCTGCGGACGCACACGGGCGAGAGGCCCTTCCAGTGCCACTCCTGTGGCAAGACCTTTGCCTCTCTGGCCAATCTCAGCCGCCACCAATTGACCCACACAGGCGTGCGCCCCTACCAATGCCTGGACTGCGGTAAGCGCTTCACGCAGAGCTCCAACCTGCAGCAGCACCGGAGGCTGCACCTGCGGCCAGTGGCCTTCGCTCGAGCGCCCCGCCTCCCCATCACCGGTCTCTACAACAAGAGCCCCTGCTGCTGCGGGACATGTGGCCGCTGGTTCCGTGCCATGGCAGGCCTGCGCCTGCACCAGCGGGTCCATGCTCGAGCACGGACGACGATGACA